GAGGCGGAGCGAAGGGCGGGCAGGCCACACCCATCTGACCATCCCGCCACGCCCACACCCGCCCCGCCACCCACACGGACCGGGCTGTGTGAGGCGCTGTTCCGCAGAGCGAGCGGTGCCCAGAGTCAGTCAGGGTCGCTGGCGGGGCGGGAGGTGGAGGCTGCAGGGCACAAGGGATGCCTCCGAGAGCGGGGATCGGCTGCTTCCCGCTTTGGGGATTGCTGGTCGGACTGGATGGGCTGTTTGGTAGTTAGTGGGCCTGTTTGTGCCTCTCTGGGTCTTAGTCGTTAGCCGCCGTTTGGTCTTCTCTCTCTCTCTCTCTCTCTCTCTCTCTCTCTCTCTCTCTCTCTCTCTCTCTCTCTCTCTCTCTCTCTCTCTCTCTCTCTCTCTCTCTCTCTCCCTCCCTCCCTCCCTCTCTCTCTCTCTCTCTCTCTCTCTCTCTCTCTCTCTCTCTCTCTCTCTCTCTCTCTCTCTCTCTCTCTCTCTCTCTCTCTCTCCCTCCCTCTCCCTCTCCCTCTCCCTCTCCCTCTCCCTCTCCCTCTCCCTCTCCCTCTCCCTCTCTCTCTCCCTCTCTCTCCCTCCCTCCCTTCTTCCCTCCCTCTCGTTCACCCTCTACTCCACCCTCTCTCATTTCTATTCTTCTCTTTTCTCTTCACTTCTCGTTTTTTCTCTTTGCTCTTGATATATGACTGCTTTGTTTATATATTTGTCTGGAATTACTGGCAGTTAGTCTCCGCTGTTAATTTTCTTGGAAGAATTAGAGACAATTTTAGTAAAAGAAGTGTGACTGAAAAAAAAATCATTATGTTACAATATTCAAGGAAGGCCAAGAATGCACAAACCCTTTTCACATGAAGAAAAAAAAAAACCTATGTTAATCTGGAAAGAGTCTATTCACAAAAGAAATGCAAATGTAGCATGCATAAAGACTGTGTGGACACGCGATGTAAAAGTCTCCCCTGTAACGTAAATCACCGACAGCCCGTTTTCGTTGTGATGGATGACCTACTAATAACAGGGCCGCAGCACAGAGGGGTGATAACATTATAACCCCGCTAAACCCACAGATGCACATAAACCCGTAAACCTATGTGTTTTATGAACGTCTAAGGGTTTTTTTTCATGCTATGATCATGTCTTCGTATCTTCGGGGAAAGTCAGGTTTGATTTAATTCCATTGGTTGATGGATGGCGGTTTGAATGCAGTGATCCTGGTTCGATGATTTGGGAGATGTATGTGATCATCCGTGATTTAGGTCTGTCTGATTATTTGCTAAACACAGGTCAAAGCGTTACCAGGGGACTAAATAACTATATTAGTTTTATTTATTTTTTTGTCGATAAAACGAACGGTTGACTGGATATACCCGCGTGTCTATATCACACACACACATATATATGTGTATATATATATATATATATATATATATATATATATATATATATATATATATATATTATATATATAATGCATGTATTTATGTATTTGCATATGTGTCCGTATGTCACCTCGTCCTCCAATATACCGTTGTTTGATTATTCCACCTGCCCTTCAGCGCCGTCTCCGGGCAGGTGGAAGTCGGCGATGACATGACAAGAGACACGGGAGACTTGTTTTCCTCGGCAACGGGACTCGAACGCCATAAAACCCTTTTACGGATCAGTAAGGAAGAAGATACTTTTGGAAAAGATGATCTTTTGATGATGGTCTTGATGAGTGGTGATTAATGGTGATAAAAGCAGTGGTGATGTATTTTTTTCCGGGTTGTAATGGGGTTCGTGATTGCGATAAGGGAAGGGGAAGTCGTTACAGAGTAATTGTTGCTGGCGAATGGCGAAAGTTTCATGAATATTTATATAAGCTTAATCAGAACAAAGGTGTGATATCAATTTAGATAATGCATCGGGATTGTTATGAAAATTTAATCATTAGAAAAAAAGGCGCATATTTGTTATCAGTTCCGTTTTTTTTAATGCGTCCAGATCCCACACGCGAGTATCTTACTGCCAGATGCAGTGTGTATGCGTTCAAGAAATTAATGCTATGCAAACTGTTGGGGAAACCGTCGGGCTGCGTTTCTGCGGGCGTGCAGCATGGGTCCGCGCCGTTGATGGATGAGTCCGGCTGACCTGGATGACCCGCTAATTGCCTCGGTGATTGATAATTACCCGGATGATGGGCTGGGCGGCGAGGGCGTGAGGATGCAAGCATTGAACCCTGTAGCCGGCTCATTACGCCCAGTTTTCGGGATGTTTAAGAGTCGGCTTTTCAAGTCACGCTCTGGAAGGTACGACTTTTTCGCGATTTTCTTTTTTTCTTTTACGTGGCGCTCGTTCTCCGTGTTTACTTCGTGCGCTTATATTTTTTATATTGGATTTTATTATTTATTTCTTCATCTCTCTCTCTCTCTCTCTCTCTCTCTCTCTCTCTCTCTCTCTCTCTCTCTCTCTCTCTCTCTCTCTCTCTCTCTCTCTCTCTCTCTCTCTCTCTCTCTCTTTCCCTCTCCCTCTCTTTCCCTCTCCCTCTCTCTCTCCCTCCCTACCTGTCTTTCTTTCTTTCTTTCTCTTAATCTCTCCTTTTGCAACAGCTTTCCAGTTAGTGTATAGCAAACTTCAGATTTAGCATTCCATGTACAATAACTCTATGTAACATTGTAATGTCCGAAACATAAAAAAAAACATGCAGATCCGATACTTTTCGAGTCAAACTAATCCCCTTCTTTGATACTAAGACCAGCGCTACTGAAAGATATAAAGAAATAATCCACACGATTACTGTATACTTAAACTGGATGAGGATGTAATTGAAAAGGATAGTTTGTTGACGGCGCGTTGAAGTCTCCACTCCACGGAGTTCTTGGTGCGTGGGACAAGTCGCGGTGCCGTAATCTGTTAGGCCTGGAGTCTTTATTTATTTATTCGATTGCTGATTCAGATTTGGTGTTTGTGCTGACATGATGTTTGGTTTGCTTTGTCATTTCTCAGTTTTTGAATTTGAGTTGCGTTCATCGGTTTGTTATAACGAGTCAATTTGTGAGAGAAAGTTTTTTTTTTTCCTCTTTCATTGACATGATTTTATTTAGATGTCTTTCTGCAGTATTCAGATGAAGTGATTATCGTTATTTACCTCCCTTTCGTAGGCATAATTCATCTTTATTCCATTTTCTTTATTCCGAGAGAGCGATCCCACGTAGGGCCTTCCGAGCTTCCTTTCTTCCCAGGTGTTCTCGGGGGGACTGAACGGCCGCCCCTCGTGAATGCCCAGAACAAGTTTGCCGAACCTCAGGCGATAGTTTGGGATTAGTTTTACATGCGACCTTGAAATTCATAACTGTTGCACGGCCCACCCCGGCAGCGGTCCGGCGGGGGCTGGTGGGACGCCCGCAGAGGACGCGGGGGAGATCGCCGGCTACTGCTGCTGCCTCGCTTTCTCGCTCTTTCCTTCTCCGAGGGGAAGGTGGTCGTGAGGAGGGGGGTGGGTTGGCTCTGACCTTTTTTGCTATCTCTCTTCGCTGCTTTGGTTTTATTTCTTATTCTTTCTTTTTTCTTCTCTTTGGTCTCTTGTCTGTATCTATCTACCTATCTATCTATTTTATTTATCCCCTTCCTTCCCTCTCCCTTTCCCTCTCTCCCTCTCCCTTTCGCTCTCCCTCTCCCTCTCCCTCTCTCTCTCCCTCTCCTCTCCCTCTCCCTCCTCTCTCTCTCTCTCTCTCTCTCTCTCTCTCTCTCTCTCTCTCTCTCTCTCTCTCTCTCTCTCTCTCTCTCTCTCTCTCTCTCTCTCTCTCTCTCTCTCTGTCGTTTGTCGATAAATAGGCTCGACCCAAACCCAATTTTACTTCAATTTCCAGTCGCCTGACTCACGATTCTACCACAAATTAGCATGGCAGAAAACGAGTATGTCAGGATAGACTTTATCATTTCGCTCCAGACACACTTTCAGAAGGAAAATTTGTTGCAACAGGGCAATAGGAAATAGAAAATAGAAAGTAAAACATAAAAATAAATTAATGCAACTCTCTGTGAACGCGTGAAACAGCTGTAGACAAGGTTGGGAAAGGTGGACAGGTAAGGGGCGTGTGGCAGGTGGAATAAAGGGGTGTAATTGTAGGCTGAGATTGTAATTATGTGTAGGGTAGCCGTAGTCCCGGGCCCGTCATTGTACGAGGGCGGGATGCCACGGGGAAGATTGAAAAGCTTAATGGGCCCGATATTTCATGGCCGTGTTACTGTGGCGACCGCCGCTTGATCTCGGCCCAGTTTTTGTACTTTGTTTGATACATAGGCCAAGTTGCTAGTTTTCTAGTGCGTACATACATATACATACATATATATATATATATATATATATATATATATATATATATATATATATATATATATATATATATATATATATATACACACACACACATATAAACACACACATACGCGTGTGCGTGTATGTGTGTGTGTGTGTGTATGTATGTGTGTTTGTGTGTGTGTGAAGTTGCGTGTTAACGAATGGTGACATGGTGATATCGGCGCTTGAGAGAAAGAGAAAAAACATGTCCGTAATCTGAGAGGGACCATTAGTGTAAATGACAAGAGGGACGGCGATCGTGGCGTTGAAAGGAGTAATTAGGTCCTCATGTCAGAAATGTTCGACATGTAGGAGGGAGGAACAAGGGTGTCCGCCATTTAGACGTCGGTCTCGTTAGCGTCTTGATCTCTCTCGTTCAGGCGTGGGGATCGGCGTCGAGTGCTCGGTTTGGTTGAATGGTTATGTTGTGGTTATGTTGACGTTGTGTTTGTGAGTGTTTTGTAGAATGTTCCTTTTTTGTCGATGGGCGTACGTTTGAGTTTGTTTTTTTCCTTTTTGTGGAGATCTGTTGATGGCACTGGCATGTGTAACATATGGGGTAGAAGCCAATGGAGCAATTTAAAAATAGAGGTGGTAGGAAGGGAAGGGGAAGGGGTTTAAGCGCAGACTCCTTGAGATGAAGACCAATACATTTCACGTCATCGGTAATGAAAATATAGATATAACGATTAAGTACGTTAATTATCTCGACCAGAATAAAGGCATTCATCACCCTTCACGAGAGAGGCGCTTCCCGCCCGGTGGTCCCAGACCGCGCCTTCCGCAAACGAAGCGTTGGTCCGCCGTCGCGTCCCCGGCCTCCTCGTAGGCCCGTCGAGAGGAGTCTTTCAAGGAAGTATTGGTCATCCTCGAGAAATGCTTAAGGCAATGATCATGGCTACAGACTCGAGAGGTCTGCGCGGAGTGGCTGTGAGGCAGGCCCCACCCAAGACGCCATACATGCGGCTCCTCGGGGGGCCCGAGTCCCCCGCGGCGCCACAAAAACCCTGGCCGAGGGCGGCGCCTTTCTCTGGGCCGACTCCCGGGGCCCGACACAGCCCACCGGTCCGGCGGCGGCTACCGGCCCTGCTTCGCCATGACAGGAGTCTGTGCAGGGCTTGGTGATCCTTTGTGTACTCGCTACTGTAGTAGGACGTGAATGGATCCCACAGGACGTGCTTATAGGGCACCGTATAATGATGTTCGACCTGATGGTTCGCCCGGCTCTTTGATCGACATCGAATGAATATTTGATCCCGACTCGACTCGACAGCGATGAAAGTTTATTTTGTGTGTTGAGAAGCGGACAATGTTGCAAAGGAAGTCCTCGAGAGAATCCTCTTGGAGAGACGTCTATCCTATCAGAGGCGTTCCATTCAGCAAATCTTTTATTGCCACAACTATCTCTGTGATCAGATCCCACGTCGATGGCCTGTCCGCGACGAGAGAAACATTTGTATAAATATTGTACTTTTTATGGACCATCACGGTCTACGCAGGTCAGTGCCAGGGTTCAGTTCCAATCAGCATTTAGACTTTTTGTACATAAGCCGTTGACCTGGAGATCCCTCGTGCTTTAGAGTTCAAACCATCTGACCTTCATTGCCCTTTGACCTCCCTGTCTGAAGATATTTAATACGTTAAGAATGTAATGTGAATTCCCCTTTGCTTTCTTAGATTATTAGCCGACGTCTCTGATGTGTTCATGTTTTTCTAGTGTCTGTAGTTTTTGTCCATCCATTGCCCTGGGTTGTGCTGGTTCCACAATGTCCTGATTTCAAAATCCTTCATTCTGCTCGTTTTAATCATGAAGTAACAGCAAAACCACCATTTTTTGAGTTCCCCTTGTAAATGATTTATTTGTCCTCTTTATTTGATCTCTTAGTGGATCTAACGACGTCTCTCCCTTTTCTTTTCTTTTCCCCCAACGCAGAGAGAGAGAGAGAGAGAGAGAGAGAGAGAGAGAGAGAGAGAGAGAGAGAGAGAGAGAGAGAGAGAGAGAGAGAGAGAAGGGTATCAGGAAAGGGAGTGGGAGTGTCTCGACACTACAATCGACCTTTTTTCCCAATTCCCAGTAAATGTTCACAGTCCTCCTCCTCCCCCTCCCACCACCACCAACCCCACTCCCACTGACATCACTACCTCCATTGATGTCCTTCCCTGACCCCCTTGACTCCCCTGACCCCCTGGAGTCTCCGTGCCCCGACTAAACCCCCCACCTTCCCCTCCCCCCCCTCGCCCAGCACCTCCCCATCCTCTCTAAGTCATTAGCGGGTGTTGCTGTAAGCTCTTGACAGGTAGATTATGGATACCGCGACCCAGAACGAATCGGATCCTTGGCTAAAAAGCAGACAGTGCGCGAGCCGAGCCTGGCGTGGGGGCAGCGGCGGGCGAGGGTGCGTGGGGGCGCGACGGGCGGACGGGCGGACGGGCGGAGGACGGAGGACGTGCCCGCCGTACATACACAGTCGGTACGTCTCCCACCTCCCGATAGCGGTGGGCGCAGTTGGCATACAGCTGGGTACTACGGCGTGTGTTTACGACGGGGTTGAGGTAGAATCTCGGTAATGTTCTCAAGGAGGAGCGAAGAAAGCGCACTGACTCTTTGGTTTCGAGGAGTCACTTGGGAGTATTTTGATCGGTATTGATTTATATAACTGGAGGAGCGGTCTAAACCAACACGGCCTTTTATTTATGATGCTGCGACTGCTTTGGCTAAATCAGCTGGGGATTTTTAAGACGAAAATTAAATGAAAAAAGAGAGGAAAAGAACAAAGACA